ACAAATTCATCACTTTGACGAACTTCTAAGAAAAATTAAGTTTTTCAGTAACCGGATGTTTTTAATAAATTAAAACAACGGTTTTTCTAAGTTAAGAAAGGATTTTTCACGGTAGCACCCCAAATCAGTTTTCGCAAAGTAAAAAGGTTTTTATTTTTCAAAGACTTTGCGAATTATTGCGCTACTCTGATTTTACAGTAAGGTGGGGTGTTACAATTGGTATCAGAGCACGTTCCTGCGTCTCTGATAAGTTTTCAGTCAGATATTTTTCAGAAAACCCGAATCGTCATGCTCACGCCCCGCCGACGACAGGTAAGTGCTGGTGCAATTCAGTTTTTCAGTTATTATAAACATATTACTTTGTCTATGCTCAGAATTGAGGATCAGGACTTTAGTTAAGATTCTCAAATCAGATTCAGACTTTAGAGTTGGACATGACTCTAGAATTCAGGCATTCAGATATGACTCCAGACGTTAGGATCTTCCGAGATGACTCTAGAGTTCTTCAGGTTTCATGTCAGTAATTATCAGCCATTTTTGGCAACTCGTCAAGAGATCTGTGTGCCTAGTAATCAGTCAGTAAGTTATCATGTACTCAGTAGTATTCAGTAATGTTAAACTTTTCCCAATGTTCAGATGCCGCCCCGTAGGGAACCCGATCACTCAGTTTATTTCAGGCCACAGTAGTCGCACCGTTTCGCGACTAGCATGTTGAGAAATTCTTCGGCCGAGGAAATCCCCGTATCAGGGGCAAGTGAATTCAGAATCGTAGAAAAGGATTGAGTTTAAGAACTTTAGATTCAATTCTAGACTTATTCAAGTCAAGTTAGTATCTTGTCAGAAGATTTGTAAGCATTGTGCTAAACAAATCTTAAGAATCATGCTTCTCAGAAATTTTTATCGAGAACTGCCATTTTGTCAATCAATTGGCAGACTCCAGGGAGAAAATCCTTGATTTAATTCGAGGAATAGACTCAAAGTTTCTAAGTCAGATCAGTAAGTCATGGCAAAAATTTTCATGTTAAAGGTTGTTATAATTTTCAAGTCATTGTTAAGGTAACGGTTTCAAGTGTATAAGAGCCAATAGTCTGGGTTACCATGGAGGCTTGAAATAAGAGCCACTCAGCCGGGTATACCATGGAGGCTTGAAGCTGGGGCCTAATCAGTAAGATTTCAGATAATAACAACATTTCAAGTCAGTCCTGTCAGATATTTTATCAGTCATAATATTTTAAGTTATGACTTTCAGAAATCAAGATCAGCTAATTACTTGGTACTTGCGGAACCAGTTGATACTGGAGCAGCCCTATATAGTACAGAGTTCAGGTTCACGATTTACAGTTTATGTTCATGATGTAAGGTCGACGTATAATAGTTGTTCAGCCGGGTAAAATGTGGCGGTCTGATATACAGACCATTAGTCCAGATTTACCTGGAAACTTGAAGTCGCACCTTATCAAGTCGAGTAAGTCAGTAAATATCACGTTTTCAATCTCGAAGCGACTATTTAAGTTGTCTCGGGATAGTTTTCAGAGTTCAGATAAAGATTATTCAGTCATGAGAGTATTCAGGCCAGTCATGTTAAGATCGAGAATAGTTTGTCTAATAAGACAAGACTTATCCGTCATTTTCAGTATGTCAGCACCTCGATTCTCAAATTCTGAAGAATCTGAGAAATCGTGGGAGATATTAAGTCATGAGGGACTTCTTCTTGAGGTTAAGTTTAACCTCAGAGGGAGTAAAAAGTTGCAGGTACCACAGGTTGACATTCGCCGCGATGAAGAAGAGCCAATCGACAACAACGGATCGTGCCATGATGGTAAACCGACGCTTTCCATTCAAGGATGCCATGCCTGAGTCTCAGTACATGGGGAGATCGCAGAGAGAGTCTTCACCACCAGCATTCCAATTGGAGTTTCACCAGCAGCCAGGGGAGGATGACCAACATATTTCGGAGTTTCGTTTTGAGATCATGTCTTATTAGTGGAACACTTTCTTTCAGAAAAGTGTCCATTTCCAGTCAGCAGTATTCTACAATTCACTTAATTGTGAATTGATGTATCTTCAGTTCTATTATTCAGTATTGAATTACTGGATTCTCAAGTCATGCAATTAGTAAGTATAAGCTTTAAGTTAAGCTTGTACATTCCAGTTTTACTATTTTCGAGGAGCTCAAGAGGAGGTCAACTTCAGCACCGGTGTTGACTGTTCCCGATCCTTCTCGGAGTTTTACTATCTTCAGCGATGCTTCGAGACAGGGCTTGGGATGTGTCCTTATACAGGACGGACGGGTCGTTGCGTATGCTTCACGTCAGCTTAAGCCTCATGAGCAAAACTATCCTACGCACGACTTAGAGTTAGCCGCAGTCGTTCACGCCCTGAAGATCTGGCAACATTATCTTTATGGCGGACGCTGCGAGATATTCACAGACCATAAGAGCCTACAGTATATTTTCACGCAGAAGAAGCTTAATATGAGGCAGCGCTATTGGCTCGAATTGGTCAAGGATTATGATTGTTCTATCCAGTACCATCCGGGGAAGGCGAACGTCGTCGCAGATGCCCTAAGCCGAAAGGTGACGGGAGACTTGACGTACGTCATTACGCAGCAGAGTTCATTGATCCATGAGTTTGCCCGGATGTGGCTTCAGGCGATTGATGCACTTCCCATAGCTGTCTCGGGGAGTATTAGTGCCAGTGTCAGTGCTATGCAGCTTCAGCCGACACTGAGGGAGAGGATCCGGCGAGAGCAGGCTTCTGACGAGTTTGTGCGTGTCATGGAGGCCAAGGTTCGCGCCGGAGGAGTACAGGATTTTCAGCTAGGCGCCGATGGTGCCTTGGAGTTCAGAGGCAGGATCGTGGTCCCGAAGGTCGAGGCGTTGCGGAAGGAGATTCTATCAGAGGCACATACCGCACCTTACTTGGCCCATCCCGGGAGCACGAAGATGTATCACGACCTGAAAGGGTCGTTTTGGTGGAGAGGCATGAAGAAGGACGTCGCCGAGTTCGTCAGGCGGTGTCTTACCTGTCAGTAAGTCAAGGCCGAGCATCAGAGTCCAATTGGCCTCCTACAACCACTGCCGATTCCGAGGTGGAAGTGGGAGGAAGTCACTATGGATTTCGTTACGGGACTACCGAGGTCGTCTGAACATCACGACGCTATCTGGGTCGTGGTCGACAGATTGACCAAGGTGGCACATTTCCTACCCGTTTCGATGAAGATGTCTCTGGACAAGTTGGCTGAGATATATACCCGTGGGATCATCCGACTCCACGGAGTGCCCGTCACGATTGTATCAGACAGAGATCCCAGATTCGTCAGCCGATTCTAGCACAACTTACATGAGGCGATGGGCACCGAGCTTGAGTTCAGTTCAGCCTACCATCCGAAAACAGATGGTCAGTCAGAGCGGACGATTCAGACACTTGAGGATATGCTACGTGCCTTGGTTGTTGACAGGGGTGCCAAGTGGGAGTCACTGTTGCCGTACGCAGAGTTTGCGTATAACAACAGTTATCATTCCTCCATTCAGATGGCTCCTTACGAGGAACTTTACAGTCGCAAGTGTCGT